AAATTGGACAGACATCACCAGAACTTTGAGAAAAGAAAATGAATCACTATTAGCTACCATCTATATCAGCTATATCACCTAATACCATCCACCATCCAGCAGGTTGCCCTTCGCCTAGTTCATCCATAACTAATATTGTAGTGATTAGGAAATCATATGCATTTGTGCCATGAGTAGAATAAATACATACACCATGTGTTCCGAACTGTTGTATCATTTTTTTTTGGTGCTCTGTTTGGATTATTACTACAAAATCTTCATGTTTAAATGTATTAGATGGATCAGCTCCTCCCTGCAATTTGTAATATAATACTGGATTGTTTCCCTTTAATTCCCACTCCTTTAGCCACAATCTAACACTGTCTTGGTCATTAGCGTGAAGTTGTACTGAACTAATATTGAAAGATTTTTCAAGATTATTTAAATCTTTGCGCTGAGTTAAATGTAATCTTGAATAAAAACAACCCATTTCATCCCTTATCTTATCTAAGATTCTTGCTTTGCTTTAACCTATATGCAGTTTTCCTGCAATTTCTTTTCTTTAAGTGAATGTTAGAGAAATATGTTGAACTTCATTTCGTTGTCCATAGTGAAAATAACAAACGCGAGCTGTCACTATTCCATTTAACTTTTTAAGAACTTTAATTGTTGCTGTGCAATTTTTTCAATTGTTCTAGTTCCTCTGAAATAAATGAAATGTAGTTAAGTATTTATAATTACATAAAATAAAATGTTTTTAAAACGTGAGTAATAAGAGTACACATTAATTTAACTAAATTGCAATAAACTTGAAGAAGTATATTATTTTTGTTAAATTGCATAAAATTGACCATGTTTATGCGATTAATTTTAACCGTTTCGAAGCAGTTAACCTGCCCTGCGGATCATGAAAACAGTTTCTATTTTCATGACCTGCAAGGCAGGTCAACTGTATGATAAATAACCTACCTAACGGGTCATTTCCTAAATTTACTAACATTTTAGTCTTGATAAGATGTTAAGTAAACCGGAATCATTAAACCAGTATAATTTGCTATAAACTATAGCAAATTATATTTCAAAACACATTTTAATTCCATTTCTAAATTGTTTGCAATTCAAAATATAAATCCAATCAAAACAGGGATCTGATCTCAGGAAACAGCCGCTTTTCGTTTTTAGTGTAATTTTTTAAACTTCAGCATCAAATTAGAGTACTTTCTTCGAATTTTCAGGTCAATGTATTTATACGAATCTTCATCAACATGAAATTTTCTATCGGAATCAATTATGAGAGAGGAAATTGAAACAGCGCTGAAAGGTTTTTCCACTACCAACTGGTCCTCCCATAAAAAACAATCTAGAATGTTGATTTTCTACACTTGGTTGCTCATTCAGAGAGCAAGGATAGCATTACATTTAATTGAATAACATTAACCAACGTCTAATTCGATTAGCTTCATCAATAGATAGTTGAACATTTTACATTGAATTGGAAACAACACCTAAATGACAAATAAATGTTAAATAATGTAAAACTAATCATTTAACATAATATAAAACATATTCAATGATATTGGATATAGTCTAAGATTAAAGAAATCATCGATAAATAAAAGCTTTTTGCTCTCAAATCTACAAAAATTAAGAACTTACTTAGTTCTATCTGCTTGTCTAAAAAATAAAAGTTAGGCAATAAGATCAAAACAAAATAAACTTTAAGCAACACTTCTTTGCTTTTAAAGTTAGAATACAATAAATTTCAAACAATGACTATTAGTAAATATGGAATTCGTACTTAGAGTATGGTGAAATTGGAGTTATACCTAGAAAAAAAATCATATGAAGTTAGGCTTTTGCGCATAGGTTAGTTAGCATGTCAGTAATGACCAAAAAAAAGCCCAGTGTCTTTGAGAACAGGAAATGCCATTTTAAGGCCTTTTTTTCAATTAAATATTTGGGCAAAATGACCAAACTTTTTATTATACCATAACTGTAAGTTTTTTATATCATTTAAAAGATAATTTAATGTTGAGTAAAAAGTTTGCTCACGCAAAGCTTTAAAAATGTATGATTTGTGAGTTATAATCGCCTAAAGTAAAAATTATGACCCTATCGTTTTTGAAGAAATATTTTCTCTTTGAAATCGTAAGCATGATATACCGTTAGAATGCTAATTCAAATATTATCTTAACTCAATGCGTAAAAAAGATTAGTGCTGTGGCTAAGTGGAAAGGGCTATAGCGGTAGGCCCTATATATTGAATGACTTATGACTTTGTTACTGGATCTTTTTTTCAACATTGGTTCAACTTAGCGGTTATAAGTTTTGATCATTAATAATGTGTTTATTGTATTTTCCATAAAATTACACATCAAAAAAACATTTCAGCTATTATGATAATGTTTTTATATGTATTCCAATGGCTTCGCATTTTCACAACTAACATTGTCTTTTTCAAATTCTGAAAAGACTCCATTCGATAACGAGCAAAGGTAAGATCTTCGTATTCAAAATGATTTCTCGTTTCAAAACAGCCATAAAATTTATTGATATTTTGATAATCGTTTAATCTATGTGTAAACCCCATTTCTAGATGCTGGTCACTAGTTCCAATTTCAACACCTTTAAGATTTGTCACTGCGTCATGAACAGCAGCTATGTATATACTAAAAACCCAAGGAGGCGTACATTCTCATCTAGAGCACGGTCTCTTGTTAACCCACCGCCAGTTTTAAGAGACCACATAAGCGTTTGTTCAATCACAAGATCTGAACATAGTCCACCCCAATATCAACTTGTTCTTCGAACTGCGTTTCACCTACTAGAAATCATGAAGCCAACAGTTATTCTGTGAAAAAGTTAACATTTCTTGAAAATACATTCTAGCACTTCTGGCATAATTTACATGACCTGTTGCTGCAAATAAATTCATTATTTTCTTCACGGCTTGCAGATGTAAATACCAGTTTGAAGTCCTTTTTGCACAAATAAATTCTTTCACGACGTCAATATATTCCATATATTGAAGTCATAACTCGGCTGTACGCAATTCAACTTTTTTTCCCAATAAAAGCAGATAATGCACTCTTAGTTCGTGTAAAAACATCACTATTTTCTCACTCAAATAAGTTTCATACCGTGATCAATCATTGCATTTTGATAGGCAGGTATATAACCAGCAAGTTCAATGCTACTTTCTTCTATTAATGAATCCATTCAACAAACCGTTGAAACACTTTGAATTAATCTTCAATTCTATGTATCAGTGCTCTTTGTAAGCATCAACATTTTTTTCTGAACATTTCAAAAAATCACTGTTGATTATTTTACAAAAATCATACATGTCTGATTTCCATTTAGCTGATTCCCTGTTCATTAAATTAAAAATAATGACGGGTAGTTTTTTCAAATAAATGTTGATGATTTTGATAGTATTTGATGATAAAAATGAAATACAAGTCAATATATTCTTCTTCTGGTAATAACAGTTGTAAATTCCATTTAGTTAATCGTTTATAATAATTTTCCAATCTTCAAAACTGTTTTCCAAATGATAAAATTCTTGTAACATAGGATGAAGTTCGTTGTCTGGATAAAACAACTTTACTGCTTTTTCTAAAAATTGTTCAACCTGCTTGCTAGTAATTTTTTTTTGAAATGATATATAAAAATTTTGATTTGTATTTACATTTTTTTGCTAATCTATATGACTTAATATTTAAAACCTTATAAGGAAATAAAAAACATGTTTTTTTATAATAACTGGTTTTTTTATTAAATTTATAAGTAGAAAAAAAGTACAAGTTTTTTTTAAATAAAAAAAATTAAAGTTTATTCATCATCATCTTTTTCGTCTTTAATTTCGTGTTGTTTTGATTTTTTATACTCTTTACTTTCTTGTGCAGCTAAATCTTGTGCAGCTCTTTTCATATTTTGATTAAAAAATCTTGTTTGCCCGTTTTTAAGTAAAGTGTTAATCATAACAGGTTCTACAGAAGTTTGTCTATCGTATTCTGAATAATAAATTTCTTCGTCTTCTTTTAACATTCGTACGTTAAAAGTGGTAATAGGTTGAGATTTTAATACTTTGTGTTTGCTGTAAGCATAATTATCCACTGTTTTGTATTTCTTCAATTTTTTCTTACACGGATTTGTTTATATATCATTTTTTAACAATAGAGATTAAAAAAAAAAAAGATCAAAACAAGTTTATATAAAAAAATTGTCAACGTGTCATTTTAATCTTTTATGATATCATATTTTACTTTATAAGGTAATATAATAGAAAAAATGTTAATTGTTACTAAATATAGAATTTTATTGTGTTATGTTCTGTATAAAAGGAACAAAATTTTTTTCAGAATCATTTAAAACATCTCCAAAGATGAGTTTAGAAAGATTCAATTGCTGTTTATGAAATTGCATATAATGAATATAATAATTCATTTACAAGAATAATTAAATTACAAGAAGATTGTTCCGAATTAATAAAAAAGGAAAAATGCCTTACTCAAGAAATAATAAATTTATTAATTGAAATTGAGGAAGAGAGAAAACTTGTTGTATACATCCAAATAAAGAGTTGTTTCGTTATTATAAAATATCAAAATTTTTATGGAATAATTTTAAATCAGGAAACTCAAATTCAAAAGAAGAAGAAACAAAGTTTTTACCATTAACAGAACTAGAAATGGAAAAATTGGATAAAGATGAATTAGCTTTGTTTTTTTCGTGTCAAAAATGTCAAAAGTTGAATCGTTGTTTACTACACGATTGTTTTTGGTGTGAAGATAGAATGTGTTATTTATGTTTATTAGATTATTCACTGCAAACAATGATGAAATTTGATACCAGACAATTGTAAATTTAATTGTTAATTTGTAATATAATTATTTTTGTTTATTAGGAAAAAAATGAACGGAAGTAAAGAATTACATGGAGCTTTGGATAATTTAACAAATTTAACATTATATTAAATAAGAGCAAATAATTATAAAACGAATGATTCTTGTAGTATAATGAATATAGATCAAGATGGTATTAAGATTGAAAGAGCCATCGAAAAAATTAAAGATAAAACAGCTGTTAGAGAAGATTTAGAAAAAGAGTTATACGATGTTCGTGATTATTTAAAATTATGTAAAACTATGAACGTTATGCTTCAAAATAAATTATTTCATTTTGAACGATTGTTTCAAAATAATAATGAATTTTTAAAATGTCATTATTGTCAAATTTATTATTTGAAAAGTGATGTTTATTATTATCCTAACGATTTTTTTCATTGTTATTGTCCAACATGTAAATTTTATACGGTTGTTAATAAAAATTTCACTTTTTTTAACAGTAAAAATAATAGATTCAAAAGGATGGTCTTTATATGCTACCAAAGGAAGTGCTGCTTTTGATTTACGTAGTAGTGAACAAAAAATAGTTTTACCGTTTCAACGCATGTTATTTTCTACTGGTGTTTTTATATCAAAAATGGAACATGATCTTCAAGGTTGGATTACATCCAAGTCAGGTTTAGCTTTAAATCATGGTGTTACAGTAATGAATTCGCCTGGAATTATCGATTCTGATTATAGAGACGAAATTTGTGTTATACTTTATAATTCTTCTATTGAAGCATTTACTATTACTGTAGGACAATCTATTGCACAAATGACTTTTGTACCTGTTTTTTTTGCAGAAAGAATTTCATGGACTGTAGATAAAAATAAAAATAGTCAAATGGAAATAGAATCCATGTTGTCTGATAATGAAAGAAAGGGAGGTTTTGGTTCGACAGGACTTTAATATTGTTTTTTTTAATAATTTTTTTTGTAATTTTTTTTTAGATGTCTAATAAATTTATTGAAATGGTTGAGCAAGTTATTAATAATATAGAGAACGGGGAAAAATTTTTTATAAAAGATGTGGAAAATGTTAAACTGATTGAGAAGGACAATAATTGCAAATTTATTGTATATAATGGTGATCAGTGTCAAAGTGATCAATGTAAAATTGAATTTGATAACAATAAAACTGATTTCTGTTATCGAAAACAAGATACAAATGATAATCAAATAAAAATTGAGAAATCTAATTTGAAAGAAGAAATTAAAGAAGAATTTTGATTGTAGAGTTAGTATTCTTGAAGAACCAACTGGTTTACCTGACGGTCAAAAGATCTTTGTGATTAAAGATATAGTGAAACGAATGAATCTTAATTTGAATGGTTATTATTCTACTTATTATTCTGCACCGTTTTATTATAAAAATTGTAAAATTAATTTCACTGTTGATATCAATTTAAATAATGAAATGAGACATGGAGATTATATTGGTATATTTGTTGTTTTAATGTCACAAATTTATAATGCTAGTTTAAAATGGCCGTTTAGCGGTAAAAGAGGAACTATATCATTATTTTTACAAAAATCGTTTATAACCGATGACATTGTTTCTTTTCAAAGACCTAATAAAGATCAAATGAATCCTGCTTTCGGATTTCGAAGATTTATAAATAAAACTGAGCTTTTAAATTTTATTGTAGAAGATTCTCTTTTTATTATATGTAAAATTAATTAATTTTTTTTATATTGCATCTTTTTTTAAATTTGTAATTTTTTTTTTAGGTAACTAATAAAAAATGTTGTATAACATGATAGCAATATTAAAAGAAAAAGAGTTGGCTGATCAATGTTACAAGTTGGTCGAATTTTTAAAAGGAGTACATAATGAATATTCTATTGCAGATATACAAAAAATCAAATCTTCAGATATACAAAAATTCAAATCATTCTGCGACACAGATAAATATATATACGATAAAAGTACCATTAATCTATATTTGAAAGTATGTACAAAGTTGATTATCAAATGTAATAAATCTATTGATCGTTTACAAAATAAAATAAAAAAAGAAAAAGAGTATCAAAAGGAAAGAAATGATTCGTTTATTGAATACAGACATATGGCGATTGTGGATATATATGGCGATTGTGGATATATATAAGCGGTTTTCTAATACTGGTCAAGTCACAAAATTATTGTTTTGTGGATAGTTTTTTACGACAAAAAACGATCCATGGATAGTGCATCCATGGATTTGATAATGTCTTTTTTTTCACACATTTTGTAATTAATGGAAACGCTGTATAATAAAGTTGTTGTAATTTATCTAGAAACTTATTGTATGCCTTATTTGTGTGTACAATATCAAGGAGGTCATCCCAGTTTAAATCTGCTAGAAGACTATTAAAATTTTCAATGGATTTTTCATCTAATTGTCGTGTAATTTTTTCAATTTTTTTTGCATAGATATTATTGCATTTTTGTGAGATAAGAAATATAGGGTAGTGGTCTGAAATGTCGCATTTAAATATACCCGTTTTTATTTTTGATTTAAATTCGTTGGTTACTATTTGGTCTATAACAGTTGCGCTTTCTCTAGTCATTCTTGTGGGTTTATTAATTAGTGGAATATAGCCTTTCTGGTAAATGACGTTGTAGAAATTATTTATTTTTGTATTTGAATAACGCATGTTCATGTCCAGATTAAAATCACCTACAAAATAAACGCTTTTATTTTTGCTTAACTTATATTTAATTATGTTTTTAATATAATTTTCGAACTGTTTTATTGAACCGGAAGGTGGTCTGAATAAAACGTGGATGATAATGTTTTTTGTGGTTTTATTTATTATTTCCACGCACAGTGATTCACAATCATTAGTGGTTGAACACAAATCTTTTCTTAGTTTGTATACTAAAGTATTGCTTATAAATACACACAAATCCCCTCCTTTCTTACCAGATTCTCTAAATTGATGAATCACTTTAAATTTGGCAGCTGAAAATTTGTGTTTGACATAATATATTCATCAGTACACCAACTTTCGCTGAGACTAATAATTTTAAAATTGAATTTAATCTCCTGAGTCTATCTTCTAGCTGTCGTAATTTATTTTTTTTCTCTTCACCTACACTGTTTTTGTTTTTAATTTTCTTTTCTAAATCACATACTTTTTTATCTTTGATATCCTGAGTAAATGTTAGACTTTCTTCGATATCTTTATTTGTCTTTTCGAGTATTCTTACTCTTTCGGTAAGTTCTTTAAGTTTAGTGTTAATCTTTTCGTTTTCTTTTTTTAATGTGTCGCAAATTTGTTTTGATTTATGTATTTCATCAAGTAACTCATTGATTTTATTATTAGTTGTTTTTAAGTTACCACTAATAAGCTTAAAAATATCTTTCTGCTGCTTTGAAAACATTTCATAAAAAATATCGCGAACAACATTTGTTGATATTTGCGTTTCATCTATTTTCCCCGTTTCGTTAGATTTCTTTCGATCCATGGTATTTTTTTTTCTGTAATAAAAAACTTGTTCTGTAATTTTGATCGGTTCCAAAGTTATTACGGAAATACGTTAACATAACAGTTAACATAAGTAGGTGTATAATGGGGGTTTAAACTTACCCAGAGTTTTCCTCTCTCACATCGCTTTAGGGTGGAGGTTTAAACTCGCTCAAAAATTCCCTCTTTTATTTAAAATTATTTTGTTACGTAACTATATTAGTTAAGGTACATTTGCAGTGTGGTTATCATAATTAACTATACCACAAATTTTTAATTAGAGAAGGGCAAGCCTAAATATATTAAGAAATGGACCCAGTAACGGAGAAATCACTTGCTGATATTAAAGATTTGCTCCACAAAAAAAGTTATTTAAATGCAAGAATGCCTTTCAGCAGTTAAGCAGCTCAGAGAGCAGCCAGTTGAGCAAAAAGAGCCATCAACTTCATAATCTGTAAAAAAGAAATTAAAAAAATTGCTTATTGCTGTAAAAGGTCAAGCAAATATAAAGAATTTCTTTAAACATACCTTAAAACAAGAAAAGCCAATTTTCTAAACTACAAAACTAATGCTTCCTCCAAGACCTGTTTCACCTTCTAAACCTATTCCTTCACCTAGACCTTCTAAATTTATTGAGCCTTTTAAAACAAAAGCCAAGTGAAGAAATTTTGAGCTTCACAAAGAAACTGGTCAGCTAGCAAACTATAAAGCTGACTTACCACAAGGTCACTGAATCAAGTCTGACGCAATTTTATGTCTTAATAAAATGATACCAAAGAATTGAGTAGTTAATTGAAAGTAAGATTAAGGGCAATGGATAAAATGTTAAATGTTACATTTTATTTGTTGCTGAAATGGAAAAAAGTTCTTATTGATCATCTTATTCTAATGCTGATTTGTTAACGGTAATAACTGATAAATTTTATCGTGCATTAAATGGATGTGGAGAGGTTAGGGCTATTGCTCTCAACATTTCTAAAACTTTTAATAAAGTTTGGCATGCTGGTCTTCTCCATAAGCTGGATCTATATGTGTTTATCATGTGTGATTGAATTTTTCATTAAAGGATTCATCTGAATTTGCATATAAGTATAAGAGCGATTCTTATAAACTAGCGGCTTTCGACTTGTTTTTATGAAGTATGTTTTTCTTTGTTATTTTGTTATGGTCTCAAAGTTACATTTAATTCGGACCGTAGAGAAAACTTTAATTTTCGGAAATTTCGATTTAGATATGGTCTCAAAGTTACTTTTAATTCGGACCGTAGAGAAAACTTCACTTTTTGGAAATTTCGATTTAGATATGGTTTCAAAGTTTCTTTTAGTTCGGACCGTAGAGAAAACTTCACTTTTTTTCAATTTTTTTTCCCTTTTTTACAACCCCGCTCTACCCTACAACTTTTTTAACAAATTATTTAGTTATTATAGTTAATTAAATAATTAACTTAATAGTTAATTATTTAGTTAACAAAGTATTTAGTTCATTATTATTAACATGGAAGTACAATAGGATGCAGGTTGAATAGAATTACATGTTACCAGTAGCAGGGTGATCATAATGATACTAAAAGTAATAACCCCGCTACTTCTCCATAACATACATCTTCCTCCGATGTATCAGGTAAGATCTTTAAGATTATTGAATCCATCCTTACCAATTGTAGTATTAATGTTGTCCTGGATGGCCAGCACTCTTCTTCGTTTCCTGTAACTTGAGGGGTTTCTCAAGGTTCTATCTTTGGCTATATACTTTTTTTAAATATAAATTAACTTTTAATATACCTCCCAGAAATTCTCACACCTAAGGTGGCATTGTTTGCTGACGATACTACCATTTGTTCTTGGTTTGATAAAAAGTCAACACTTTCTGATTACTTGAAGCGGGCGTTTAAGCTTGAAAAGGATCTCACTTCTGCTACAACATAGGGCTCTTGGTGGTTGGTGAACTTTAATTCAGATAAAACTCAATTCTTCTCAGTCAATCGTTATCGCAATAGTCTAGATATTCCTGTATCTATGAACGGTAATGTTAGGATTAACTCTAACTTCCAATCTTTATAAGAAACCATATACCAAATTGATAGCATAATTAGCATTTGCTAAGGTTGAATCTCTTTATCGTGCTCGTAATTTTCTTACTGCGGATTCTATTCTTTATTTTTATAAATCTCAAATCCGACCGTTTATGGAATACTGTTGCGATATCTGGAGTGATCTTTAAATGATGCTCTTTCTCTTTTAGATAAGGTGCAAAAACGCATTGTAAACATAGTTGGATCTGCTTTTGCAGCCAACCTTCAACCATTGTCACATCGTCGTAATGTTGCTTCTCCTTTTCTTTTTTATAAATACTATAATGGGTGCTGCTCTAAAAAGCTTGCGTTTCTTGTGCCATCTACTAAAGTTCGTTTTTGTGTTACTCGCCACTTAATTAAATCTCATCCTTTTACTGTGATTG